TCTTCGTTCATAGCAGTTCGTATGGTTTGTAGATATAAACAGAAAGAATTCGCAGATTTGGCTTTTGTGACGTCGATGTCAATTTTAATTTTTCTTCAGAAGTGAGTAATACTTTATCATATTTTCATATTATCATATTAATTAATTTGTAAATCTAAAATGCCGGTATCTATTTGTTGTACAAATTTACAGCAGTATCTCTTAAAATAACGGTAATTATTCAGAATACCTCCCTCACCTCCGATTTCGATGAAATTAGGCTTATTCGACGCGTTTTTGCACAAAACGAAAGAATCTGGCAGAAAAAAGTGTCGCTCTGCCTCGCGAACCGAGATATTTAGCGTTAAAGTTGACGACTCTGCAGGTTAGGAAATCTGTCATACCGACTATGTGCACGAAATTTGAAATCAATATTTATTAATGCTATAAAATAAATTAAACGTATGTAGTAGTGCTTAGACATTGTCCGCTTGGAATATTTGTAACCCATGTAGACAGTGGGGTGTATTGACAGTAATGCTTGCCCGAACCCAAGCATTACTGTCTATACACCCCACTGTCCACATGGGTTAGGATTTATTTGTTTTATAAATGTATGACAGATTTCCTAACCTGCAGAGTCGTCAACTTTAACGCTAAATATCTCGGTTCGCGAGGCAGAGCGACACTTTTTTCTGCCAGATTCTTTCGTTTTGTGCAAAAACGCGTCGAATAAGCCTAATTTCATCGAAATCGGAGGTGAGGGAGGTATTCTGAATAATTACCCAACTTCAAAATGTTCATATGTGTCCTTCGAAATATTATTTAACTGCAAAATAATTAATAATAATAAATTATGCTGATAACAGAAATGTCACAAGATGGGGAAGTAGATTCGCAAGCGAGTCAGTGGTACGGAGTACGAGAAGCCACATTATTTCTCGTCGATTGTACCGAGAAAATGTTTATGCATTCGTCTGATATTGATGACAGAAAAATCACTTACATCGAAAAGTTTTTCAAGGTTGGTTATAATATTGCATGTTAGTTTGAGACTTGTTCTTTTTAAATGAACTTTTTGCACGGTTTATCTTTCGTCTTTTTCTTGTTGAAAAAAAAAAAGAGAAAAGTTGAATATATATAAGAAGTTAAGATAAAAAAGAAGAGGCCTTTTTGGTTAAAGAGTTACATATAATTGATTGTCATTCATTATTCTTTCAGCTATACAAACAAATTCTTCGGCAAAAGCTAGCATGGAGTATGCAAGATTGGATGGGAATGGTGCTATTTGGTACTGAAAAGAACGACGCAAACTCACCATGGACAAACATTCAGACTCTACAAGAACTCAAAGTTGTTACTGTGGATGATTTACAACGGATTAGAAAACTAAGCAAGTACAATTACAATCAATGCTGAATGTAGCACATTCCCCAAGAATATGAGCCACAACTTTCATTTATCGGTTTTTTTTCTGACGATTTTTACAGCTAAAAGCAACATGAAGGGTTACGAGAGTATGAAATTAAAAAATAATGCTCTGCTTCTTGATACATTGACATATGCCACGGACATCTTCTTGAAAATAAAACCAGTCCTCACTAAACGTAGGATAGTTCTGATCACTTGTTATAACCCTGATTACTCGGACGACGAAAAGCATTGCATCAGAGCAAAGGCGAAGTCTTTGAAGGAATTAGACCTTAATCTATACGTGATCGATTTAAGAAATAATTGGCCGCTCGATGAGTTCTATAAAGATTTAGAAATACTGTCGAGGAAGATAGAGATAGGCGTTTACAGAAGGACGTCGCTTATAGACTTGGTACAGCAGATTAAAGCGCCATCCAAGAATATCGCATGCTTATCCTTTCAGATATGTGATGGTGTGGAGATTGATTTAGCGGTGCGTACTCTGGGCAGGTAGGTCTTCATATGAGAATATTAATTTTGTAACATTATAATTAAATTTTGTACAAGTAAAAACGCAAGTATCATTTTACAGAAAACGTAGGTGTTTGCAAACGAAACCACTAAGCAAAGCAACTAATCAAGTTTTGTCCAGATTAACCTATTTCAAGGATATCAATTTTGACGAGGTGTATATCTTTCGCTTAACGTAAAAGTTTGTTTAATCTTAATTGGTCCTATTCGTCAGCCCAATTGATCCATATTTTCTTCAATTACGTTGTGAAAAATTGTTTATAAAAAATATTTTTCACAATCTTATATAATTTTAAGTTACATAATCTTATTTCTCGAATCTTGACCTTCAAAATGAAAAAAGTCGTTCAATTACGTTAACTTTGGGCAAAGATATATTAATTTAAAATATACTGTGAACCCGCAGACACGAGTTCCAATTAGGATTAAATTACATGTAAAATATCTTGAATTTATTTCTTATATCCGATTTGTTTAATCTATGGTAGGAAGACAGTGACAACGAGGAATCTAATTTACCTTTTATGATACCAGAGGAAGTTAACTTGGAAACTGAGGAATCGATTGGTGGCAAGAAGCTGCATTTCACGCAAAAGGAACTTTTGCAGATAAAGCAATTATATCCACCAGCCATCAAGATAATTGGTGTAAGGCCTATACCTGGCGACCTTTTCAGATACCATGTTAAACGGAAGTACTTTGTTAGAGCGGATTATGGTAGTACTCGTAAAGGTAACGCATATGTATAAAATGCACAATAAAAAAATTAATGCGCTCAGTTTAATTTAATTTATTGTGTACCAATAAAATTACAGAGATACGCGAAACGTGATAACACTCGATTTGTGATATCGCAACATCTAATTACTATGTAAAGGCTAATCTATATACAATATGCTCTTTGCTTTCTCTTTTTTGCTTTTATTTCTTGCCTTTTTCCTTTTTTTGTGACTATTTTATTAATAATCGTGTCTTTTCTGAAGTTTGTTAACTTTTATCTCGAATGAGAGAAAACGAAGAAATAGGGTAAGAAGCACAAAGGCGAGAGGTAAAAAGGAAGAAACAGGAAGTAAAGAACACATTGTAGATTAGCTTTAAAAGTAATGTCAAATGTATCATTGTTTTTTTTTGCAGACAATCTATTGTTCTTCAGCGCTTTATTAAATAAATGTGCGACTAAAAATAAAATGATAGTGTGCGCGTTCACAATGCGGTTGAATACACAAACTAATCTCTGCTACATGATTCCGAATGCTGAATTGGGCGGCTTTTATTTATCGAAAGTCGCATTTCAGGGTATGTCTAATTATATTTCACATAATTACATTATCAGAGAGAAACTCAAGATATTCTTTACTTGATGAGCTTAATTTTATACTAGGGAACATAGAAGACAAGAGTGAAGCGTTGTTACGTTATGACATGCAGAATTCTGTAACTGACAAGGAAGTTGCGCTGTGGGAAAAAACGATCGACCGACTCGATATGGACTACCGTCCGTATAATTTCAGATCTTATAAACTGGAATGTCAGATACAAATAGTGGAGAAGTTAGCTCTGGACAAAGAACCTGGCCCTCCACCGATTGATTCCATCGAGAAATCATGTAAGTAATATCTACATATATTGAGATAACAAATAAAAAAAGATATACACTTCAGGCGAAGAGTTTGGAAATACTATTTTAAAAACTAACATTTAGGATTACTTATTCAAGTATCCATAACAATGTTTTTTTTAATAATAATTCTTTAGAGAAATATTTTAACAGCTGTAGGAGTTATTGGCTCTACAAAATTATTGTGAAAAAATATATTATCATGGGTATTAGACTAAATGTGTCAATTCAAAAAATCATAAGGAAAAAAAGTGTTTCCAACTCTTGATCTGGAGTGTACAAAGAGTAAAAGATTTTACTACTTGAACAGAAAAAATAAATTTATATCAAATTATAGATTAATGTCAACTTTTTTTCAGATTTAATGGCTAAACAGAAAACAAATGATTTAATATCTGAATTTGATAATATGTATCCTGATATATTTATCAATGATGGCCTAACAAAAGTAAAAAGGGCTAGAAAAAAGTAGGATACGTGTTTATTAAAATGTGTGTGATTGGTTGCGTTCAGCAGACTCAACTGTTGCGGAGCGGATCAATAAGCTCTCGCTGCTATTGGATGATCTAAAAGAATACACCAATAGCAGTGAGCGCTCATGGATCCGCTCCACAACAGTTGAGTCTGCTGAACGCGACCAGTATGTATGTAGAATGTTATGTTGCATGATGAAAATATTTTTGATCATAGAAATTTTTGCATTTTATTTCTTGAAAGTTACTTGTATAATAAAGATCTTAAAAAAATAGGTATCTTACTATATAAAAGATAGAAATACTGTTTGTTTTTAAATGCTACATTTTATTTCACAAAAATATGCACTTATATATGTATATACCTGTGAAATTGTATGTTAAAATCTTGCTTCTTTAGAATATTTCAATTTTGTCATATAATTTCATTACTGTCAGTCTTGAACTTGGATGTAGGTATTTAGAAACCAATTCCAATTAATACACAATGTAACACCATAAAATTTATATAAACATAGAACTGTCAGTTTTATTTGGCAATATATATAACGTTCTGTTATTTGAAACTATATTAAAATATCCTTTGTTACTTTTAATACATTTTATTAGAATAATGCTATTATAGATGTAGGAAGATAAAATTATTCTTAGCACCAAGATATTCTGACGATTTAAATGCATATGAATGTTTAACAATATTTCCATTTATATATGTGTATCAAAATACATGTTTTATTATGTTCTATTTTAAATATATCTGTTACAGTTAGTCATTTTGATTAGGCCACAAAAGGGTAAGGCACGTATAAATTCCTGTATAACTCACAAAATTGTTTAACTATGTTTTGAAAAAATCTTCTAAACTTTATGCAAAATGTGCATCTCTAACGGCAAATGTTAAGATAGAAAATTCAAATTTTTGCATACTTTCAACAATCTTATATAAATATGTATCATAAAATAATTTAAATAGAAAATTTACTTAGATCCTACAATCTCGAATATATACTTATTGCTGCAACGAACCAATGCGCAATTAAAAAGATGCAAAAGTGATATTATCATTAGTCTCTCCTGTGCCATCCTTCCTCATTTCAAGCATGCAGGTTTAAAGTACGACACAGGTGCTTTTCTCACGAAAGGGATTCGACTTCTGTGATGAGAAGCCCACCAGCAGGCAATCCTCCTGCTCGTGCTCGGTGATGTACTTCATGATGTCTTCGACGGCTTTGCTCACCGTGATCCGCTTCAAGGCGGCCTCGCGGCGCAGCTGCTCCGTCACTTGGCGTTGTTGTTGCAAATTCGACATCACCATGTCCATAACAGCTGTATGCGTGAGAGACAAGTCAGAAAGTGTCGAACTAGAATTCTCACACAAGAGAAAAACGGAAGAACGCGTGAAAGGGGAAATACACCACGAATTTAAGAGCTAACCTGGACCTGGACCTGGTACGATGCTCGAATCCCGTTCTTACAGATCGCGGAGAACTTTCTCTTTCGACAACTCGGATCTGATTTCTTTCGCCGCGAAAAATACGTTTCCGCCGTGAACTGGCGTGGACTGACTTTATTCACGCTCTCCGGCCTCTGATCTTCTCTATCCTCACGATTTATCCTGATTTATCCTTCCTGTACCAAATGTGTCAATTGGTGCCAATCCCTCAAGGTGCACTCACATGTACAAATCGTACGCGTGCGACGCGTTGATTGGCCGACAAACATGCCGTAAAGTTAATCGTTATTAGAAATTGAAGCAGAAGAGGACGTTCTAAAATAATTATTGTATATTGAAATAACTAATAATTATGAATAAATAAAGGTAAATTGTCACGAGCTGCTTAAACAGGCTGTTTCAACGACAAAAAGGATCACGTGGTCAAAATTGACGAATATCAAGCGTTTATTTTGATCATGTGATCTTTTGTCGCTGAAATAGCCGGTTTGAGCAGCTCGTGAAAATTTACCTTAATACTTTAAAATGAATAAGGGCCGATTGTTTCATCTTTTGATAAAGTTTACCTGTAGGACTATTCTGTAACTTTTAACGACAGTTCGGTATCGTAATATTGTCGTTGCGCAGCTTTTTCATCATGTAAAATACCTGTGCAACGACATCCCTAGCTAATAAAATTGTCGTTAAAAAGTTACAGAATAGGCCTACTGTTAAGCAAATCTGGCAATACGAACACGTGATTGGATAATCTTGCTACTTACCTAACAGGTAAACTTTATCAAGAAGTTGGAACAATCGGCCCTAAAATTATTAGTTTTTTGCTTCGATGTATCGCTCCTTTAAAAGTGTCACAACTCGAAAAAGATAGTTTAAAAAAAATCATCAAAATCGTTACAGTTAAAAAGGGTTCTTTAACGATTTTGATGATTTTTGTGTGCTACTTTAGGGGGTGATTTTTTAAGAATTGTGAAAAAAATTGCGTTTTTTGTGTTAAGAATATTCTTTTTATTGATATCTATTATATTTAATCAGTAAATAATTTTCTGATTGAAAAATAATTTTTTCTTTGTTCTAAAAAATGTAATTTTTTGAGTTATGTCACTTTTTTAAAGTAAGGAAACAATATGATAAGGAAGATTAAAAATTGTAATGGATGGACAGCGGATTATATATAGCTAGAAATATCGCTATAAATAATTTTGCTGCTCAAATTGACTGTTGATTAAGTTAGTTTACAGTTTTATTGAAATCGCTGTTATCATAATATTATAAATAAGTCGAATAATTTATTTCTATTAGATGTTATGTTATACTTCACAAAATATCTCCGAAAAAGTTCAAAGCAGCCTTAAGGTTAATTTACAATGTGAACTTATTACGCATCAAAGCACATTCTGGGCACTTACTTTTTCTTTAAATATTCATATATGATTATGACGACTGTTCATTAGAAAAACGGTGATGCCATCTCAATTAAAATATTAAAGATGAAAGTGCAGATGCTTTCTAACTTGACATGTTATAATGTTTGAACAATAATAATAACAAATGATAGTTGTATAATAATAATAATAACAATAATTTAATCTTAGGACCACTTCGATCAACTTTAATCCACGGTTAATCCATTGGAATTGATTAATCGCAGTTGCGAAATGACAAATGGACTAATCGTCAATTAAAATTAATCGGAGTTGGTCGAAGTGACTTCCCGGTAAAAAAATTTTTATGCATAAATATATATAAATATGTATAAACATACATAAACATATATAAATATTCATAAACATATATAATTATGTATGAGATATGTCCATACATGTTTACATATCCTTCTTTAGTTTATAAAATTACTTTTTAGTGAACTAAAAAAATAATAATAATAATGAGAAAACATAAAAAAATAATTAAAAGGAAATTTTTCGCGTTGTTTGTTTTAGAAAAAATCAAGCTTGGAAAAAAGTAAAAAAATTGCTTATATTTAGTTACATGTAAAATTATACATAGTTATGTATGAGCAAATTTTTTTACATTTTTCCAAGCTTGATTTTTTCTAAAACAAACAATGCGAAAATAATCCCATTAATTGTTTTTGATGTTTTCTCAATATTATTATTATTTTTAGTATACTAAAAAGTAATTTTGCAAAAGAAAGAAAGATGTGTGGACATTTCATGTATAATTATTTATGATTATGAATATTTATGCGTGTTTATGTATGTTTATACATATTTATACATATTAATGTATAAAAAATATTTTACCGGGTTTAAGGAACTCTGCGCGCGCAATGGAGGAAATATTAGGAACAAGAATGAGTATGAAATAACGGAGAAATAAAAAATTAGGAATAAAGATTAAACGTAAAGAGCTGTACACAATAAAAGAAATATTAGGAATAGATATAAATATTCAGATTTCAACTTATCAGAAACTAATAATTGAAAATAATTGTTGATCCAACATTGAATTAGTTTTTAATTAAATGATTGAATTAAGTACAACCGATGATAGTGATTTCGTAACGATGTGAATTGTATAAGAATTGAATTAACTTAATTTATTTCACACACAATTTTTTTCTCGAGTGTAGCGTCATTATTATGATAATTTTTTATTTCTATGAAGAATACATAGAATATGAAAAAATAGAACGATCCCTGAAAAAATCGTACTCTCTTCTTATAGTCAACAATCGCGAGACGCGAATACTTAGACGAGAACGTGGAGAAGCGCGTATATAGCTCGGTATTCATAGTCAGATCTTATTTCAAGCTGTCTTAAGTACGGTCTTAAGACGCTAATACGGCTCTCTTGATTGGTTTGTGACTTCTTAAGACCGTACTTAAGACGATCTCGAATATAAGATCTGACTATGAACACCGGCCATAGTCTCGAACGTGCCGTATATCCCCAGGGCCCGTAAGCGCCCGTAAGCGCCCGTGATCCCGGACGCGTCGCACGTCATTGGGCGAATTCGGCCAATCGCGAGCACTCGTCGCTCGCGATTGCGCGGCGAGCCGTGGCGCGCATCGCGCTCGCGCAGCACGGCGCTCGCAGCCGTGCGAAACTCCACATGAGCCTGTTGCCAGTTATTGATCCTGGCGCGATCAAACAACACCGCATTGCTGTCAACTACGAAAACACACAGCTTCGCCACGTCTCGGCCTGCGCTCGGAGTTCCAGCGTACGGCGTAAAAGCGTCGGGGACGGCCGTGAGGATCGACCGACGGTCGTCGTTCCTCCCAAAGTGTTTAACGATTCTACCTCCGTATCCTCGGAGGCAGACCGCTGGTGCGCGACGTGAGAAAAACGGACGACACGATCGCGGCACCCCGTCTGTGGCACAGCGCGACGCGGCGCGGCGCGGTGCGGCGCGGAGCGGTGCGGCGTCAGCAGCAGCAGCAGCAGCAGCAGTGCTTTCAACGACGAGAAGTTGATCGCGCCCGTGAAAGAGAGAGAAAGAGCGAAAACATGTCATTGGATTTTCGCGAATGAGCCCGGAGCAAAGAAAGAGAGAGAGAAAGAGAGAGAGAGAGGAGCCACGGCGAGCCAGATCTTCGAATTCCTGGCCGTGATTTCGTAGACGGACGGCGGCGATTGCACATGTGATCCCCCCTGAGTGGCCGACCCCATTTGGCAGACGCGATGAAGAAGTTCACGATCAAGGGTGTACTCGACGGGTTCCGGTCGTCGGTCCCGCAGCCCACCAAGCCCGACCAGGAAATCATCGAGAATCTCAGGACGGAGCACTTTCAAGTTAAGAAGGTCAGTACGAGAGGGTTCAACCTGGTATCCCTCTACTCCTTTCAACCCCCACTTCACCCTCTCTCCCCCCGTTCGCCCTAATTAAAGTGGACCTGTCGATAACACGCCGTCCTCGGCGCATTTTTCACAGACCTTCGCCGATCCAGGAAAGATTTTTAGAGAAGTCCGATGACGTGCGAATCTACTGTTTTCGGACTATAGTGCGAAATGAGATCTACTGCGGGGTTTTTTTCCTTCCCCGCAGGGTTTAACGATTGACTGAACGACGCAAGTCGCGCAATTAGAAATTTTATGGGGTCAGTCGTAACTCATAATGTAAAGAAAAGTATACGCTACCGGCGGGCGAGTAGATAGTAGCTGTTTTTCAACGAGAGACACAAATGACACGGCGCAACACATAGTTAGGGTTATCGTATCTGAAAATCACAAGAAAAGAGTACATTTTTTTAAAAAAAGATAACGATTCGGAAACGGAAGAAGGGAGTATCATTTTATGCATTGAATGTCAATATTTAAGAAAATAAAATTTCTAAACCATAATTTTTGATAACTTGTATTAATATAATTTTATAAATATAAAATTGTAATTAATCCAATTTTGCGATCTTAAAAGAATACGACTTATGATCCTAAATACAGTGAATTATTACATTCTTGTTGCTTGTCAATATTAAACAAGGAATTCACTGCATGGAAAGGACAGTTTTGCTCAAGTATCTAAAAATTTAGTTAGACATAAATCTAAAAATAATTTAATTGGATCAAAATAATTATGTAAAATGCTCAAATTGGTTACTAGAATGTAAAAACTTTTTTCAACATTGCTCATCATGCTTGAGATTCCTGTAGTATATATAATTATTTTTATGATCCAACAAAATTATTTTTACACTGAAAAAAATATCTGGTTGAAAATGGACGAACTATAGAAGATTTTGATTATATCAATTGGAATTCCGATTATCTCAATTAGAATTTAATAGATTTAACCAGAAAATTCTGATTCATCCATTTTCAAGAATTTTTCAGAATTCCAATTAATCCAACCAGACATTTTTCTCAGCATAGCTTAGTATTTAGATAAATGTTTAGATATTTTAGCATTCTTTCCATATGTGTCATTTCAAATGACTCATTTGTGTTCCTTATTTGGAAAGCACCTGCAACATTAATTATAATGGGATGCGCAAAACCCGTTCGTTACATTATATAACGATCAGGAATGAAAAGAGGAAGAAGTGAGATAATTAGATCCAAATTGGATTCAACGATTGGATAGATTCAGTCTCATTCGCCGTTTTATTCGTCATTTATCTTAAGTGCGGCGCTCGAAGGATCATTCGGAATAAAAGCCTGTTTTCCTCGAGACCATCTCGTCCCGGCTCTCGAGCTTTCTGCTCTTTGCTTTGTAAACAACCCCGATGTGCCAGTAAATGCGCCGTGTCAATATCGAAAGCTTACGTAATCTGAACTCGTTGGCATTCATATCGCTGAATAAATTCATATCAATTGCATCGCGCTATCCGTTAACTCAATCGAGTACTCCGTTTTCGTGAGTACATCTATAATAAGTATAGTGATCTATTGACTCGTAGATCTAGTGAAGGAGGTTCGACAATGCCTATTCAGTAAACACCAACGAACAGTAACATAACATCAATGTTATAATTTCACACGCAATATAACGACTGATTCAAGTTCGCAATGTTCGTGAGCATCATTTGCCCTTGTTTAACATTTCATAAACAGCAAGGCTGAAATGATTCTTAAGGGATGTTAGCGTGAATTGGACCGCGACCTAAATGTGATATAACGTGTTGTACATAACAGTTACAACCCACGCAGTATGAAAGCTTGCAGCAACATTACTGTAATATTTACAGTATTGCTGGAATAATTTGTGTGGAGTTGTTAAATGTGAAATTGTAATATTGGTGTTATTGTATGTTATGTACTATTAATTGGTGTTTATTGGATATCTTGTTCTATTATACAGAAATGATATATGTGAAAGTCACGTATCGAGTATTCTAAAACAAATACGTAATATGACTTTGATATATAATTCTTGTAAAACAAAGAGAACAAAGTAAGCACCTTTTGAATTTGCTTTACTAGATCCAGAAGAGATATCGAGTTTTTGTCCATGGATGTATACATTCTGTGAAAGAAGAGAAGACTGAACACAGCAATAATGGTTTTGCTGAAGTATCTAAAAATTTAGCTCTAACAAAATTATTTTTACTATTTTTAGATCTGTATGATAGATACAGATTTGAAATATTTTTGTTAGTCCATCAAAATAATTATCTGGGAAACTCAAGCACGATGAGCAATACTGTAAAAAATGTTGATTGTGAATAAAGATTCTAACAGTCAGCTTAAGCGTCCTATACAAATTATTTTGATGATTCAGATGAAATTCATGTTTTCAGATCTGCATTTAGTTAAATTTTTAGATACTTCAGCAAAACCGTTCTTCCGTGAAGAAAACAAACGTACTTCTCAATTTTGTAATTTCCCGTTCTGAATGGAACACATAAAGTGAAATTATAAATGACAAATAAGGTCATGATGACGTCCTGTGATATCATTATAATTTCTGTGTTCTATCTGGAGTCCCCTTGGAACTCTCTTCTTTAGAAAAGGGATCCTCTAAGCGAGAGTCTGATTCGTGCCACATTCTCGCGTCCGTGTCCAGTTAAATAATTCTGAAATCGCGCCTCAGAATTAAATACACTCGCGAGACACGCGAACGCGAGCCGTGGCAAGGCGGATTCGTGAAGCTCGTCGAAGACCTCAGTTTGTCTAGTTTGGGGTATATAAACCCGAGGAGCGTAAACATCCCGACTCCCGACGGCTGTCGATACTTGCTTCACGTCGCATGGGGTATCTCCAGCTTGTCTGGGTTTGTCTGGCTTTCGTGCAACGAAACTGTCCCCGTCTATTTACTTACTCCAGCGAGTAACTGTCGGTGAAGCTGATATCAACTATCGCGGTATGCCGTTCGTGTGAATATCCGTTACGCGGTCGAGGAACAGATAACGGGCTGATATGCGAATGCGGGAGATAAACGAGAGAAAACACAAGATTAAGATAAGAACGATTAAGAAATACGCGTTGTTCCTACATTGTTTGCCCTGAATCTGATTGCATTAATTGGAATCTTAAATCAGAATTTTCTGGTTGAATCTACTATACAGTATGCGCAAAAAAAAAAATGCGACTCTCACAACTAACACTTCAGTTGTCGGTTTAGTTAAATAAAGTGAGTGGACGCGGAGGCAAATTTGATTATAACACAAATATTTTGCCCTTCTACCAAATATTTATTCGATATGATTTCCTTTAATTGCAATCACTGCGTTACTGTGTCACACTCGGCAAACATAATAGCGATTAAAAGAGAGTCGCATTTTTTTTTGGCGCATACTGTAATTCTAGTTGAGATAACAAGAATTCTGATTGATATAGGACGTTTTTTTTATTATTCAACCAGAAGCGATCACGGCTAAGGCTATCTTCGTCTTCAGGGATCAGAAGACGAAGATAGTCTTAGCCGTGATCGCTTGGATAATGAAAAAACGTCAATGATCAGAATCTTCTGGTTGCGCCGCGTATCTTTAGATCCGTTTATTATTTCTGCACTGGATTGCACCAGAATTATCTTTCTCAATTTCGTCGAATATCAAGTCGAATATCATATACCCATTTCATTTTAAGTTCGCTAAAAAAGTGTACGCTAATCCAGTTGTAGAAAACAGACCTTTTGTTACATGCCTTCCAACCCCGATCGATCTCCCGATTCCGTTTCTCGGCCTTCGCGATCTCGCCGAGCATTGCAATTTTAATTCGATCGCTCGTGGGACGCGCGTCCAGTCGCCTCGGCGATGATCAATTCAGACCGACACCTTTCACGCGTTTACCTTTCGCATTTGTCCTCACGAAGCTGCAGCACATCGAAAATCGCCAAGTAGATCACCGTTATAAACGAGGTCACGATTGCGATTTTCACGGCGAGTCGAACTTGAACGACGCAACACGCGCTGCATTGCACATTTGCCTGCGCTGAAATCATCGCTCGATGCGCGTAGGCGATCATATATAGTCACCACTATTATTTTAATTTTCTCGCTCGAAGCGAGGATGATGACATTCGAGCTTCATGTACCTTTCTTGGCGTATTGAAAAAAAAGTCTACACTGAGAAAAATTTCTCGTTGAAGATGAATGAATCTAATCGTATCAATCAGAATTCTGATCATTTCAACTAGAATTATAAGATTTAATCAAATCAGAATCTTCTGATTTGTCTTAATTGGTATTTTCAACCAAAATTCCAATTAGTACAACCAGACTATTTTTCCGTGCGATAATAATAATTATATTTTATATTTTATTATTGCAACACTTTCTCCTTTGTGGCACGACTCCATTATAATTTAATGTAATTATTTCATTAACATTAAAACCCTGCTTGGCTTAGAACCTTTTAATCGACGTTTTCTATATTGTTTGAATAATAATTAAACTCAGATTATAATTATGAAAGCTTTGATGAAATACAATAATTTCAATCAAATATTCGGTTAATATAATGAAAATCAACTAAACGCTAACTTTGTTTTTTTGAATATTATCTTATTTTTCTAATTATTACCAAACAGTTGATTACTACATTTTATTATGTTCTGTTAAATTATACTCAATTTTAATTATTTTTAATTATTTCTATAATTAAATTTATCACTGCTTCTACTCAACATATCGTTAATTTAATTAAAATAATAAACAATAAAGTTAAACAATTTAACTCGAGAAAATGTTTTAAATTTGACTCGAATTTAAGTTTATTATTTACTAAAGTGTATACGTTAGTATAGACGTTGTTTATTTTGATATCAATTATATTTATTTACATTTTGACACACATGAAGTTAAAAATAACAAAATGTTATTTAATCCAAGGGATTGGGTTGCCATCGATCCTTTGATATTTAA